GCTGAAGTCCCCAATCCTGTTATTAGTGACTTCAATCGGCAGAGACCCTCCTGATAGAGATCCCTGCCCCATGCTGCGGAGGAAGGCGAAAAACCTCCAGAGGCTCAGCCAATCTGCCCTGGAGGAAAATTCCTTCCCGACCCCAAATATGGCGATCAGTAACCCCTTTTAGCCATTATGCTATTTACCTACCATTGCTTGGTTTTCCTTGACTACTATGTTTTACCATTAAACCATTCCCTCCATAAACTTATCTAACTTAATCTTAAAACCAGACAGGTCCCTCGCCCCCACCGTTTCCCTCGGAAGGCCGTTCCAATATTTCACCCCTCATAATATTTTGGATTTGTAAATTACACATTAATCTGTGGCAGATAATGCTAGCTGCCATCTCCATGTAGTCTTTGTCCTTTTTATGTAATTAACAAACATAAAGACATCAGATGTTAACCCTTTCCTAGTTGGTTCTTCAACCAGATGCAGGGAAAACCAACCAACATTTCATTTCATTTCATTTTGTTTAATTGAAATCAATGGACAATTAAAAGTTCAAGAAAAATGAAGATGTTAAAATAACATCTCTTAATCCTCCAGAGTTCTACTCCCTGTTTCTATGCACCGTCTATTTGCTTACTTTTCTAAGTAAAATGAGTTTTCACTGCTTTTTATTCTTAGCACTGCACACAATTCTGCTCTGGGCGAATGAGCTGGCATCTTTTTTGGCATGTACAATTCACAGAATTGTTAACTAAGTTCCAGCTCTGGAATCTTGATCATTGGTGATGATCCAGAATTAAAAAGAACCCAGACAGACCTTTAGATTCCAGGTTGAAATTTCCAGGGCAGATAGTTTAAAAATATTTTTTGAAACAGAATCAATATTTTTGAAACAGCATCAAAAGACAAAACTGGAAACCCAGAATACTTTTTTTTTAAATGCTGTGTTACTTTTCAGAGTACAGCTGTAATTTCAGGCTTATGTTGCCTGGTACATTTAACAGAACAGCTCTTTAATCATCAATCAAAGTCATGGCATGTCAGTAGCAAGGCTGCAATTAATAAACAATTCCACTAATGGATATTTGGGGGGTAGATAGGAGGGGTGTAGACCACCCAAATAGCATGGAGAAGTTGGATATCATTAGAGGGCATAAATTAGGTATTTTTTCCACAAACCACTTGCCTCTCCGACTTTATCTAAAAGTGCTCTGCAGTTCTCTCTGAGTCACAAGAGAGCACCAGCCATGTAGGTTGGCTGAATAGAAAGTGTCCCTACTATTTATGCATTTTCCTTTTGTCTCTGTGCTTGATTTTCCTACTCCTTGAAGACCTCCTCTCAGGCACAATTCTTTCATTCCAGTCTGCAGGGAAGGTGGAGAGACAGAACCATTTTGTGACCCAGCCTGTAAAGTAATTCTCCCCACCTAACATTACTGTGCAGCCTCCTTGAAAGGAGTAAGCAGGTGAGTGCGTGCTCACTACTTCCCATCCAAGCAAGTGGGCAAGGAGTGGTTGGAACGAAGACTCCACCTCTCACCATGCCAGTCTGCACTGCTGAGATGGCACACATCAGGTTATTTATTCCCGACATTGTGTCTCTCTGAGGAATCTTCCTCTTCTGCTCTTGGAGCAGTGAAGCTATGCACCATTCATTATGGAAGCAGACTGTTAAAGCATAAGCTAGCTCATAAGTAGCAGTTAAGGGCAAATTTTTCCAAGGAGGGAACAACATTATGCTTGCAAAAAAGTGTATAGCCTCTGCTTCTGCAAGAACCTGCATTTGCACATAAGAATGGACAACATGTGCAAACTGACACTTATGCACGTAATTACTAATTTGCATATTTAAAAGGGCCTACTTGTGCACCCTAACGTGCATGCACATGCGAGCTAGTGAACAGGGGACTGCAAACAGGGAAGTTTGAGAGGGGGGAGAATGAGATCCCCCTGCTAAACAAACAAGATGCGAGTAGTAATCTTGGGGTGAGTGAGTTTGTTTGGCTGTTTGTGTTTTTCTTTCTCTTTGAGGTTATTTAAAGTTACAGGGTCAGTTGGGATTGTGTGTTTGCAGACTGTTTGAGCCTTTGTTCCCTGGATCATCCTTGATCAGCCTCAATCAGCATTGTGATCACCCTCCCTCTGTGTGATTGAACGAGAGGATAGGACCAACCTAGGAGAAAAGGCCTTAAAAAGCCAGAGGCTAAGCCACCAAGGGGACTGTGCGAACAGGGGACTGCAAACAGGAGTCTGAAAGAGAGAGTAGTAATATAATTGCTATGGTTATGAAGGGCTACATTGCCAGTGCCCACACTGCTCCTGAATCCTCCACCTGCACCTGTATCCAGACCATGAACTTGACCATGGATACCCTGACCAGATCCCATGGTAGATTTGCAGAGACTGTGGCCTGCATTTCCCACTCAGAAAGCCAGACTGAGGGGACTATCCATTGTGAAAGGTGTCTGCTGGTGGAATCTCTCAGGAAGCAGGGGCAGAGCTACAGGAGGAGGTGGCTAGACTGAGGAGTATCTGTGTCCATGAGGAATTTATTGACAGTATTTATATGGAGACATCCAAGGCTGAGGAAACTATCCATCTAGAGAGGACTGTTGTCATGCCATCGAGGGAGGAGGATATGGCTCTGTCACAGGGAGGACAATGGCTGCTGGTTACTTCTGGAAGCAGGCAGTGCTCCACCCCTACTGCCGACCCACCCACCATAGCGATGAAGAACCGTTATGCTGTCCTGGCAACAAGCGATGAGGAATCACCCCCAAAGGTGGAGGAGAAGAAGCCACGTTCCCCCAAGGCTGGGATGATCATAGCCACTACTCCCAGGAAGAAACATAGGGGGTAGTGGTCGTTAGTGACTCGCTTCTGAGAGGGACGGAGGCACCCATCTGTCGGCCTGACTTGGCATCTCAGGAGGTATGCTGCCTGCCGGGGCCCATATCCAAGACGTTATGGAGGGATTGTCAAGGATCATCCAGCCCTCTGACTGCTACCCTATGCTACTCATCCATGGGGCACTAATGATATTGCAAGGTATGACCCTGAGCAGATTAGAAGTGACTACAGGGCTCTCGGAGTAAGGGGGAAAGAGTTTGTGGTGCAGGTGGTGTTCTCTTTGATCCTTCCAGTCACAGGTAGGGGCCCAGATAGAGACAGATGCAGCCAGGCATTCATCTCCAAGATACAAGGATGGTGTCGCCAGAAGGGCTTAGGCCTCCTTGACCATGGGATACTGTTCCGGGAAGGACTGCTAAGCAGAGATGGGGCCCACCTATCAAGGAAGGGGAAGAGCATATTTGGATACAGACTGGCTAACCTTGTGAAGAGGGCTTTAAACTAGGTTCGGTGGTGGCAGGTGACAAAATCCCACAGGTAAGTCAAAGACATGGAGACCTGGGAGAAGGGTCGGAATCTGGGGGGGAGCATGGGCCATTATAGCAGGGATAAGGGAGACAAAAGAGAACATAGAGAGGAAATCAAATCAGTATCTTAGATGTCTGTATACTAATGCAAGAAGTATGAAGAATAAGCAGAACGAACTTGAAATGCTAGTTAATAAACACAACTATGACTTTGACTTGGTGGGATAATACGCATGACTGGAATATTAGTATAGACTGGTACAGCTTACTCAGGATGGAGAGGCAGGGAAAAAAGGGAGGAGGTGTTGGTGTGCCTTATATATTAAAACTGTATACGCTTGGATTGAGGTTGAGATGGAAACAGGAGACCAACTTGTTGAAAGTCTCTGAGTAAGGATAAATGGGGTAAAAACAAGGGTGATGTCATAGTAGGGGTCTACTATAGACCCCCTAACCAGGAAGAAGAGTGGATGAGGCTTGTTTTAAGCAATAAAATCATCCAAAGCACAGACTTGGTGGTGATGGGGGACTTCAACTATCCAGACATCTGCTGGGGAAATAATTCAGCAGAGCACATATTATCCAACAAGTTCTTGGAATGTATTGGAGACAATTTTTTATTTCAGAAGGTGGAGAAAACTACTAGGGGAAAAGCTGTTTTAGATTTGATTTTGACAAACAGAGCGGAACTGGTTGAGAATTTGCAAGTGGAAGGCAGCTGAGGTGAAAGTGATCATGAAATGGTAGAGTTTATGATCCTAAGGAATGGTAGGAGGGAATGCAGAACAATAAAGTCAATGGATTTCAAGAAGGCAGACCCTAGCAAACTTGGGGAGTTGGTAAGTAAGATCCCATGGGAAGCAAGTCTAAGGGGAAAAATAGTTCAAGAGAGTTGGTAGTTTTTCAAAGAGACGTTATTAAGGGCACAAGAGCCAACAATCCCACTGTGTAGGAAAGACAGGAAGTATGGCACAAGACCACCCTGGCTTAACCAGGAGATCTTCAATGATCTGAAACTCAAAAAAAGAGTCCTACAAAAAAGTGGAAACTAGGTCAAATTACAAAAGATGAATATAAATAAATAACACAAGTATATAGGGATAAAATTAGAAAGGCCAAGGCACAAAACGAGATTAAACTATCTAGAGATATAAAGAGTAACAAGAAAACATTCTACAAATACATTAGAAGCAAGAGAAAGACCAAGGATAGGATATGCCCATTACTCAATGAGGCGGGAAAAACAATAACAGAAAATGAGGAAATGGCAGAAGTGCTAAACGATTTTTTTGTTTCAGTTTCCACCAAGAAGGTTGGTGGTGATTGGATGTCTAACATAGTGAATGCCAGTGAAAATTAGGTAGGATCAGAGGCTAAAATAGGGAAAGAACAAAATAAAAATTACTTAGACAAGTTAGACATCTTCAAGTCACCAGAACCTGATGAAATATATCCTAGAATACTCAAGGTGCTGACTGAGGAGATATCTGAGCCATTAGCGATTATCTCTGAAGAGTCATGGAAGACAGGAGAGATTCCAGAGAACTGGAAAAGGGCAAATATAGTGCTCATCTGTAAAAAGGGAAATAAGGACAATTACAGGGAATTACAGACCAGTCAGCTTACCTTCAGTACCTGGGAAGATAACGGAGCAAATAATTCAGCAATTTGCAAACACCTAGAAAATAATAAGGTGATAAATAACAGTCATCATAGATTTGTCAAGAACAAATCTTATCAAACCAACTTAATAGCTTTCTTTGACAAGGTAACGAGCCTTGTGGATGGGGGAGAAAGCGGTATATGTGATATATCTTGACTTTAGTAAGACTTTTAATACTGTCTTACATAACTGTCTCATAAACAAACTAGGGAAATACAACCTAGATGGAGCTACTATAAAGTGGGGCCATAACTGGTTGGAAAACTGTTCCCAGAGAGTAGTTATCAGTGGTTCACAGTCAAGCTGGAAGGGCATATTGAGTGTGGTCCTGCAGGTTCTGTTCAATATCTTCATCAATTATTAGATAATGGCATAGAGAGTACATATAAAGTTTGCAAATGATACCAAGCTGGGAGGGATTCCAGGTGTTATGGAGGATAGGATTAAAATTCAAAATGATCTGAACAAACTCGAGAAATGGTCTGAAGTAAATAGGATGAAATTCAATAAGGACAAATGCAAAGTACTCCACTTAGCAGGAACAATCAGTTGCACATATACAAAATGGGAAATGACTGCATATGAAGGAGTTCTGCAGAAAGGGATCTGGGGTCATAATGGATCACAAGCTAAATATGAGTCAACAGTGTAACACTTTTGTACACAAAAAAAAGAGAACATCATTCTGGGATGTATTAGCAGGAGTGTTGTAAGCAAGACACGAGAAGTAATTCCTGCGCTCTACTCTGTGCTGATTAGACCTCAACTGGAGTATTGTGTCCAGTTCTGGGCGCAACATTTCAGGAAAGATGTGGACAAATTGGGGAAAGTCCAGAGAAGAAGCAACAAAAATGATTAAAGGTCTAAAAACGTGACCTGTGAGGGAAGATTGAAAAAACTGGATTTGTTTAATCTGGAGAAAAGAAGTCCAAAAGAGGACACAATAACAGTTTTCAAGTACATAAAAGGTTGTTACAAGCAGGAGGGAGAAAATGTGTCCTCATTAACATCTGAGGATAGGATAAGAAGCAACGAGCTTAAATTGCAGCAAGGGTGGTTTAGGTTGGACATTAGGAAAAATTTCCTGTCAGGGTGGTTAAGCGCTGGAATAAATTGCCTAGGTAGGTTGTGGAATCTCCATCATTGGAGATTTTTAAGCACAGGTTAGACAACACTGGTCAGGGATGTTCTAGTTATTACATAGTCCTGCCATGAGTACCATGGACTGGACTAGATGACCTCTCAAGGTCCCTTCCAGTCCTACGATTCTATGATTCGACTAGTAACACATTGAGTGAGTACTGTCCTATTAGTACCACTATAGTTTTGATAGTTACCAAAACAAAGACTTAAGTTTTCAAACTTGAATGCCTACAGTTAAGTACCTAAATCCATATGCAGGGACTTACATAGGGGGCCACTACTGAAAATGAAGCCTGAAGTCTGCTGTGGAAGTTCCAATTTTCTAATAATTTTAGAAAGGTTATCTATTAGCACACTAATAATATGCGAAATACACTCTTCTCTGCCTTGAGAAAGTGCCTTCCTTGTACTATGTCTGTGGGTCCTTCCTCTTCCTTCCCATCTCTATTAAGATCCCTCATATTGCCCTAATATTAGACAACCAAAGACCTTGTCCCTTCTTGACACTGTAGTAGCTTGGAGTGATTCCTCCCTGTCAGCCTTGAAGGGAGGCCACTCCACCTCGCTATGCCACCTATTGGTTGATGGCCAATTGACAAGGAATTAGCACGGTATGTGCCAATGGGGCAGACCAGGGCAATTATCAGTCTTCAACCCAGCTGTGTCTTTGGGGCAGATGGAGTCAGGCTCAAGCTCCCTGGGCACAGCAGAGCAACTGCAGTCTATGGCCCAGCTCCCTGGGTGCGGCAAAAAGCAAACAAATGGAGGCCATCTGGCCTAAAGTGGGTAGGCTGCTACCTCAGGAGTGGGGCTGGCAGCAGGTTGTAGAAGGACCCAGGCCCAACCTACTCCACCAAGTCCCAGCCCAAAGCCCTAGCAGTGGCGAGTAATCCTGCCACTGGGTCAGCAGGGATCCTCCTGAAACACACTGACTCTGGATCCAGCAACACAATCAGATTAATGTCTGGTTTCTCTGGGCTACTTCCTATCCCTACCTGTTCAAAGGGCTTTGTCGCTCACGGGCCCTCAGGTTCCTCAGGGTACTCAGCAGCTCCTCGGGGTATTCCTCCAGGGGCAGGGATTGGTACAGCTCAGTCTCTGGCTCAAGGGTCAGCAGTAAGGCAGAGGCATCCAACTCCTTCCATGGCTCTCCCTCAACTGAGCTGGAGGCCCCACATCTTATACTTCCTGTTCCACCCCTCTGCTTCTGGCGCAAAGGGTGGGCCTGGCCTGGCTCCGTCCACCACAGGGCAGGGAGTGGTTCCTGGTCAGCGTCAGAGGGAGGCCACTCCGCCTATCTACAGACACAGTTCCTGAATTCAAGTACTGGTTGTTTAGGTTCTGTGGTCGTCTCTCTCTGCTCCTTGGTTCACAGCATGAAAGAGAAGCTGGGACCTGCAATGGAAAGACATGGTTCATAGTGGAAGTACAGGGTGGGAAAGGAGTAGTAGTATTCATGGAGGTAAGAGAAGTGGAGCTAGGTTAGGACTTGCTCTAGACAAGAGTCCTGAGCTGGCTAATCCTCCAAGCACCAGAAACCCTCCCTGCTCCTGCCATGGCACCATCGAGTGACCACCAAACCAAACCATAAAATGGGCCTTCCATGGAATCAGTGTCACAGACAGCATTAATATTTGAGAATGCCTGGCTCCCAGTCCTAGCCTCAGACTCTCTCACCCTGAATGAAAAGGCTTACAGTGTCACCCTTTTCCTCATGCCACTTTGCAGTACTTTAGATAGCAAGATTAGTATAAAATCAATTCAAGCAAGAGTAGTACAGTGGAGAGCAAAGGCACACATGTTTAATATTTGTATAATGTATGTAAAGTCAGGACACCCAGATTTGCTGACAAGCTGATTTATTTTCCAGCAGTACATATAATCTGTAGTAATGGGATATTACTGTAACTAAATGAACTTTGCTGCAGTAAAATAACCACAGCCCACACCTATTCAGAAATTCTGTACTAATTCAGACAGGCCTTTATGTGCTGAACTTGTATTCTCTGGCACCACTGTTAATATTTAAAGGGATTTAAATGCATGCCATTAGTAGAAAATGAAGAGATTACTGTGAAATAAGAACATGAAGCAGCAGAGACCTTTCCTGATTCCAAAACAACTGGCTTTAGATTGTAGACAAGAAAAGACCATATTTGTGGGGGGAAAATTGAGCAAAATATGAGACAAATTTTTGTTTTGCTTTAAATATACCTGTATAATTAAGTATTCATAGAATGGCAAGTATTCAAAAAAAGCATTCGGAGGAGTTTTCCATCCCTTCTGCAGCCTGTGGTTTGCTTGCAGCTTTTGTCCTTAAGGGGAATGGTAGGAAATCAATAAGTTTATCAGCCACTTATACTTTTTATTCCTTTCTAGCCTCAAATATGAATTAGGCCCTCTCTATACTAGAACATAAGAATGGCCATACTGGGTCAGACCAAAGGTCCATCTAGCCCAGTATCCTGTCTTCTGACAGTAGCCAATGTCAGGCACCCCAGAGGGAATGAACAGAACAGGTAATCATCAAGTCATCCATCCTCTATCACCCATTCCCAGCTTCTGGCAAACAGAGGCTAGAGACACCATCCCTGCCCATCCTGGCTAATACTATTCAGGGCACTACTGCTCAGAATCTGCACACTACACTTCTGCAGCCTATGTGCACCTGTCATCATCTAAATGAATACCAGAGGATGGTCCAACTGGGGCAATATGCAAAGGCTTGGCAGCAGGCCTGGCAAGAAGTGAGGATGTGATAAGGAGATCATAGAATCATAGAAGATTAGGGTTGGCAGATACCTCAGGAGGTCATCTAGTCCAACCCCCTGCTCAATGCAGGACCAACACTAACTAAATCATCCCAGCCAAGGCTTTGTCAAGCTGGGCCTTAAAAACCTCCAAGGATGGAGATTCCACCACCTCCCTAGATAACTCATTCCAGTTCTTCACCATCCTCCTGGTGAAATAGTGTTTCCTAATATCCAACCTAGAACTCCCCCCCCCCTGCAACTTGAGACCATTGCTTCTTGTTCTGTCATCTGCCACCACTAAAAACAGCCTAACTCCGTCCTCTTTGGAACCCCCTTCAGGTAGATGAAGGCTGCTATCAAATCTCCCCTCACTCTTCTCTTCTGAAGACTAAATAACCCCAGTTCCCTCAGCCTCTCCTCATAAATCATGTGCCCCAGCCTCCTAATCATTTTTGTTGCCCTCCGCTGGACTCTTTCCAATTTGTCCACACCCCTTCTCTAGTGGGGGGACCAAAACTGGATGCAATACTACATGGATCCATACAGCTCTAACTCCCTGTATAGGAGGGGCACAGTGACTATTGAAGCTATTGCCCATAACTGCAGTAGAGGTGCAGATGTGCTGGGTTACCACTGCTTTGGAGACCCTGGCCTGAAAGCCAAAGAAAATCCCTGAGCAAAACCCACTTACCCACAATGTGTGCCGAAGTGGAAGGATCAATGACACTTCATCACCATTTTCTGCAAACACATGTTGACTAACAAACACACTGAGAGCCTAAGAGCAATTGTTTTAGGCTGTTTTAGAGAAAGCTAAAGTGGAAAGATTAATGCCACTACATCACCATCTTTTGCAAACTGTGGGAGCATAATAAGAATCCGATAAAGGAAGAAGAGGGAACAGAAGAGTGAGTACAATGAATAGAATGTTCTTATTTGGAAGTACAAATGGTTCCATTTCAACAAAACAAGTAACGGTTTAAAAAACATTTCTCTGTACTGAACAGGCATATGTCATTCACATGTTTTCAGATTAGTACATCTACTAGAGGAAGAAATCTGCCATGTATCAATTTATGTCACTGATATGCTTGAATTGTTACTCCTGTCTCTAAATTAAATGTTCATAAGGGAACAAACATTTTACAGGACTACAAGGTCTACAAATAGGGGTTCTAGGAATTACAGCAATACAAATAAATAATAATAATAATAATAATGTTCACTCTTCCACTTACTTGGACCATCATGTATTAAAGAGGTCTCCAGTGCACAGGATTTGATAACTCTTTTGAGGAAAAAGAAAAATGTGGCTGCTTGGAACATCTGGTCTGCCTGGCAAATGATTACTGGTATACTGTTATGAGATACTTGGAAGAAATGAGCATTGCCACCTAGTGGTAAACTTTTGCAACCAAGCAATTCTATAACTGAATGGAAAATCAGGACTTTAAATTGAAGAGATTTTGTTTAAATGGAAATGCCTATAACTAAACACCGAATTTAATTTTTCATACATTATAGTTTTTAAATGATTTTATCACAATCCTTTGTGAAATTGTGTCCTGTTCTTTGATGGGAAGAACTTCATCCTAGCACAGAGTAGAGCTGGAGGAGCAGGAGAAAATCTACATGATTATCAGACTCCTCTTTTTTAAAGAGGTGTGTGTATCAGTAGGGAAACATGCTGAGTTTTACAGATACTTAAGGGCAAAGTTTGCCCTGAAGCACACCCCAAGCAATCCTATTCCATAGAGCAGCACAGGGTGTAACTAAGGTCAGAATTTGGCCAACAGTCTTCATAATGATAACTTTATAAAGTGAGAGAATAGCTTTAAGATCTACATATAACAACCACTATAAGTGCTGAATGTCTGATGTTGACTTATTCAATGTGTCCAGCTGCTGTGATAGCCATTAGATAAAATATTTCATTAATTTACTTTTTTTTTAACTTACAGATGGAGAAATTGAAACCCTGGCTTCCTGTTCTAAGTAATTTTTCATGGTCTGGCAGCAAGTGTGTGACAGAAGTGAGAATAGTACCCACATCTCTTGACTCCAAATCTTGTGCCTTACCTGTCTATCTATGCCCATGCTTGTCATTGCAGTATCTGAGTATCTTCACTGAAGTGTGAGAGCACTAGATTGTGGTCACTATATTACTTGGTGTGGTGAATTGTTCCTCATTATGCACGTTTCTCTTTTCACTTGTGAGATGTGCCCCTCACCCCATAAGCTGTCAATGATGCCTCTCTCTTTAGGAAAGCAGAATACAATCTTTCTGTGATTTATCCAAAGGAGCCATGTAACTTAAATTATGTTAAAGAAAGAAAGGAGGGGACGGGGGAGAGACTGTGCCACATGATGGCAGATAAAGTTTTTAACGGTGTGGCAATACATTTCCATATATCAAAAAAAATGTGTCTCCGGTTTGGTGTGTTGTGCTCTCCAAATAATTTTTTCTTCTGTCATTAACATGGTACTACATCAGTAGCAGCAGATCATATACTGGACCTTCTGAACAGGCCAAAGGTTATACAGAGGATAGCATGTGAAGATGGCTGCTGAACAGGCTGGATTTACAACCAGTTTTTCCAGCAATTTTATAAAGATATCAGTCACTACATTAAAAAAAACTTGCCATTACGGTTAATGAAATTATAAAGCTATTTACTGAGACTAGTATACTTTTTTGATTAAGCAAAAATGTATCAGAAACAGCCTAAGAATCTAAATATCTTTAGTCATATACTTTGTATGGGGTATATATTAACAAATATGCCAAGAATCAGCAGAAGGTTTCCTGCTCTTCAGAAGAAGTGGGCTTGTAGGCACTCAGTTTCCAAGCTACTTATGAGCAGAACAGATAAGCCAAATACCAGTTAGTGGTACTCTGGAGAAAGAAGCTTGAACTAGGACTTGCTGTCAAGAATATACCTAATTATTAGGTATAAAAGCCTTCTCCTACAGCGTTTTCAGACTAAGACTTTCCTATACTTCATAGTTCTAACCCTTCCTGTTTCCAGTTGTCAGGGACAGTGTGCAGCAAAGATCTATTACTTGGGGCCTGGTAAGCAATGATAGAGTTCTCTGCTGGTTGTGGGGAATAAGCCCTTCCTCCTCCGAGACAGGCCACGCAGCCTGCATGAAAACAGGAAATGATAGTGTTCCCAACATGCCCAGAGAAAAGCAGTAGCAGTCCACCCAGAGACAACTCTTGTATGGGTGTCCCCTGTCACAACAAAGAGGGGAGAAGCAATGATGTGAGATGTGTCCAGGGCCCCAGAGTACCTTGATCCAACCTTGGGTACAATATATACTCTAGACAAGTGAGATGATCAGCCACTGAACAGCATAACGTAGATAAAGATATAATCTACAACCAAATTCATACGTTAGTATAGGAAAACAGCTAATTTCCACTGTTTAAGGCAGTGTCAAGTTTAAACAAGTATTGATTTTGCTCATTAAAGAATAGCATATGTGGGGAGATGAGCCACTCTCAGATTCAAATGGACTAGACTATTTCTAAAGTTAGTTTACTACAATAATGAAAAGCAGTTTACATTCTCTTTTGTAAGTCACTGTCAGCAGTTCAAAAAGAACAGAAGTACTTGTGGCACCTTAGAGACTAACAAATTTATTTGAGCATAAAGCTTTCATGGGCTACATCCCACTTCTTCGGATGCATAGAATGGAACATATATTGAGGAGATATATATACACACACATACAGAGAGCATGAACAGGTGGGAGTTGTCTTATCAACTCTGAGAGGCCAATTAAGTAAGAGAAAAAAAACTTTTGAAGGGGGTAATCAAGATAGCCCAGTACAGACAGGTTGATAAGAAGTGTGAGAGTACTTACATAGCAAGATAGATTCAATGTTTGTAATGGCTCAGCCATTCCCAGTCTTTATTCAAACCTAAATTGATTGTGTCTAATTTGCATATCACTTCAAAAGTGATATCTCCTCAATATATGTTCTATTCTATGCATCCGAAGAAGTGGGATGTAGCCCACAAAAGCTTATGCTCAAATAAATTTGTTAGTCTCTAAGGTGCCACAAGTACTCCTGTTCTTTTTGCGGATACAGACTAACACGGCTGCTACTCTGAAACCTGTCAGCAGTTCAGCAGCTGTTTTATACCCAAGCCCTGATTTCCCTTGGGGTGAACAGACTAACCAGTGCTCCACATAGGATTTTCAGTTTTTCCTAAATTTTAAAAGTAAAATATCATGCTAATTTATTAATAATGAAAGTTGATAGATAGACAGATAGGAGCGAAAACCTCTGTTCACTCACAGAACACAATGGCAATGCAAGATTCCCCACAAAAGTGCTTTAACTCTATTTAGGAGGGATTCTCTCTGAATGGTTATGAGGGTAGTTTATTATCCAGGCTATTTATTCCCATCAATCCTCGTGGTCCCATTGCCCCTGACAGAAGCCATTATCTGGCAGCATCTTATGGTATTTGTACCATTCTGGCCCACATATTTGTTTGAATATCCTGTGTCGGTCACCTTCTCCCTCTCACCAACGTTCAAAAATTAAT